ATGGGGGTGATGTGCTCACGCCTGCGGGTCTGTGTCAGGAGACGTGCAGCAGAGTTCTGCATAAGCTGCAGGCGGGCAAGGGAAGCCTGGCTAATCCCTACGTACAAGGAGTTGCAGTAATCAAGACGGGTAGTGATAAAAGCATGGATTAATTTTTCCAGGTCAGGTCTTGATAAAATGGGCTTCACCTTCGCTATTTGGCGTAGCTGATAAAAACTTTTTTGTACCACCCCGCTGATCTGCTTGTCAAATTTAAAATCAGGGTCAAATTTAACTCCCAGATTAGTGACGACCTCTTTAAGGTAGGGTGAGAGGGAGCCTAGGTCGAAAACCCTTAAAACAGGCAGAAAAAAGAGAAAACTAAAAAAAAGAAAAAGAAGAGTATTTCTGAAAACAAAAAAAACAACAACAACAAAAAAACACCCTAAGAAAACTAAAAAACAAAAAAGAAATGTTTCTGATTCTTGGGGTTAAGAAAGCCTGAGAAGTGGAAGAAGTAACTTCCCCGAAGTAAGGAAGTACTTAAAAAAAAAAAAAAACTCTTCAAAAAGAAATCTCCAAAAACAAAAATAAATTAAGACAACTGATGAAAAAACAAAAAAGAAAAAAAAAACATCAACATGGGAAAAAAAAAAAAAACTACTGGAAAGAAAATTAAAAAACAACAAACAAAAGCACCCATAACCCGGTGTTTTTCACACAAAAGATAAAATAAACCTTGCGGTTTTCCGTCCCATGGGAGGGTTTTTATCCCCCTCCTCGAGCTACCACCTTACCGTGGTGGAGGGGTTTGTGTGTCCCAATGAGAGTTAATTCTGATTTACTCTTGCTGTTGTCAAAAAGTGCTAAAATTTCTCTGAATTTCGCATGCTAAGTAGGCCCATGTCAGTTTTAATCCTTGCAGGACTCTTGTTTTCACTTTTCATCAGCAGAGGAAAAGCTTTTGGATAACTGATTAATATAGAGTTCAGGGGAAAGTATATCTGCAATGTATAATCAATAATGACTTTATCTTCATGAGTTAATATGATTTGTACATTTAAAGAGAACTATTTTTTAATTTTGGTTCAACAATGGACAGAAGTACACAGGCAAGATGGCGTCTGTAAAGTTCAGTTTAACAGCTGGTGTGTCATACTAAGTTTTCTTATTTAACCCATCAATACATATCAATTCATAAAGCATCTATTACAAAAACAGCTCAAATCAATGTGGGTTAACAGCAGGTTTGAAAAATACATGATTGTTATAGGGTGTGCTTTTTTTTTTACATTTAAATGTGAAAAATTCAAATGTAAACAAACAACAAGAGAATATTGCATCAAAGGAACAATTCCGTGATGACATCATTATGACATCATCATGGCTTTCATCTCGTGTTACTAACTGGAAGTAGAGCAGCTGTCCAGGGTATCGTTTGAACCTTTCAGCGAGTAGCTACACTTAAAGAAAGAGACAATCGAAATCTTTTAGCAGCGGAACTCTGAGACTACAAACAGTCAAAGACAATGCAGCGACCAACAAACCGACCCAGGATTAACAGGCCCTTCTACTTGAGGGACAGAGAGATGGAGACACTCCGCAGGACTGTGGCTCAGCTCACTGGACAGCTGGAGAGTGAGAAGAACCGAACACTCTTGCTCAGCCAGGAGTTGGAGGTGACTCAACAGAGGCTCACTGGACAGCTGGAGAGAGAGAAGAACCGAACACTCTTGCTCAGCCAGGAGTTGGAGGTGATTCATCAGAAGCTGACCAGGCAAAGGGCTCTCAAGGAAGTGTACATTAACAAAGGGAAGGAGCTCAAAAAGGAGCTGCAGATGCTTCAAAAGTACAGCTCAGAGGAGACCCTCTCCAAACACAGAATTGCTCTTAAGGTGAGGGACACGAGCCGGCAGAAGAAGAAGAAGGATCTTCATGTCGATTACGAGGAGCTGAAGGTGGCACATATTGTGGAAAATGAGAGGCTCACAACACAAGTCCAGGAACTGACTGAAAGAAACACGGTCCTCCATGAAGAACAGGAGAAGACAAGAACCTCATACCAAGCACTGAAATTCCAGTATGCAACTGATCTCACTGCTGCGAAACAGGAAGTTGAGACCCTTCAGCGTGAGCTGCAAAATCAGGCTCACCATGATGGACTCTTACAGGAACAGACCATCCAGATCCTGAGAGCCGAACAGGACTCCATGACGGAGAAGATTGCTGTTCTGCAGCAGGCAGCTTTTGAAACAGAGAGGAGGCACTGGGCTGAGCTGGAGGAGCTGAAACAACAGCTCTACATCCAGACAGCCGGTATGATGGACAACAAGGAGCTTAAAGTGGCCCAAGAAACCAGCTTTAACAATGAAAAAAACAAAAAAACAAATGAACTCTCAACTGAGCTTCAACTTCGAGAGACAGGCATCAGGCAAAGTGAGATGACGCTTCAGGAGCAGGACTTCATGGACATGGACATCGAGCAGTTTTGCATGGAGTTGGAGAAAACTGCAGAAACTTCTGGAGCTGAAGAACTGGCAGGAGCTTTAGAAATCGAAGTGACTGCTGGATCTCCAGAACTAGTTGGAACAGCAGGACCAGCAGAGACACCAACCTCTAATGCCACCAAACCACCTTCTTCAGTCTGGAAACAAACAAGACACTTCTTGGGGTTAAGAAAGCCTGAGAAGTGGAAGAAGAAGTAACTTCCTCGAAGTAAGGAAGTACTTTAAAAAAAAAAAAAACTCTTCAAAAAGAGATCTCAAAAAAAAATAAAGAAAGAAAGAAAACCAAAAAAAAAAAAATCAATCAATCAATCAACTTTATTTCTATAGCACATTTAAAACAACCACAAGGGTAGCCAAATTGCTGTACAGTGACACATAAAAACAAATAAAACAATCAAAGAACAAGATAAAGCAAGCAGAAATACAGTAATGCAAAAGAATAAATAAGTGTATAAATAAGGAGGCTCACGGCAAGTGCTAAGATGATAAAAAACAAATTAACACTACAATGTACTAAAAGCCAATGAGTAAAAGTACGTTTTTAAAAGGGATTTAAAAACAGAAAATGAGGAGGCCTGTCTAATTTTCAAGGGCAACTCATTCCAGAGCTTAGGGGCAGCAGCGGCAAATGCTCTGTCCCCTCTGAGCTTCAGCCTTGTACTGGGGACGGTCAGTAAAAGCTGATCAGCTGATCTTAGGGGTCGGGGTGGGCAATAAGGCTGTAGCATCTCCGAAATATAGGGTGGAGCAAGGTTGTTCAGGCCCTTAAAAACAAATGCTAAAAGCTTAAAATGAATTCTGTACTGAACAGGGAGCCAGTGTAAGGACGCCAGGATGGGGGTGATGTGCTCACGCCTGCGGGTCTGTGTCAGGAGACGTGCAGCAGAGTTCTGCATAAGCTGCAGGCGGGCAAGGGAAGCCTGGCTAATCCCTACGTACAAGGAGTTGCAGTAATCAAGACGGGTAGTGATAAAAGCATGGATTAATTTTTCCAGGTCAGGTCTTGATAAAATGGGCTTCACCTTCGCTATTTGGCGTAGCTGATAAAAACTTTTTTGTACCACCCCGCTGATCTGCTTGTCAAATTTAAAATCAGGGTCAAATTTAACTCCCAGATTAGTGACGACCTCTTTAAGGTAGGGTGAGAGGGAGCCTAGGTCGAAAACCCTTAAAACAGGCAGAAAAAAGAGAAAACTAAAAAAAAGAAAAAGAAGAGTATTTCTGAAAACAAAAAAAACAACAACAACAAAAAAACACCCTAAGAAAACTAAAAAACAAAAAAGAAATATTTCTGATTCTTGGGGTTAAGAAAGCCTGAGAAGTGGAAGAAGTAACTTCCCCGAAGTAAGGAAGTACTTAAAAAAAAAAAAAAACTCTTCAAAAAGAAATCTCCAAAAACAAAAATAAATTAAGACAACTGATGAAAAAACAAAAAAGAAAAAAAAAAATCAACATGGGAAAAAAAAAAAAAACTACTGGAAAGAAAATTAAAAAACAACAAACAAAAGCACCCATAACCCGGTGTTTTTCACACAAAAGATAAAATAAACCTTGCGGTTTTCCGTCCCATGGGAGGGTTTTTATCCCCCTCCTCGAGCTACCACCTTACCGTGGTGGAGGGGTTTGTGTGTCCCAATGAGAGTTAATTCTGATTTACTCTTGCTGTTGTCAAAAAGTGCTAAAATTTCTCTGAATTTCGCATGCTAAGTAGGCCCATGTCAGTTTTAATCCTTGCAGGACTCTTGTTTTCACTTTTCATCAGCAGAGGAAAAGCTTTTGGATAACTGATTAATATAGAGTTCAGGGGAAAGTATATCTGCAATGTATAATCAATAATGACTTTATCTTCATGAGTAAATATGATTTGTACATTTAAAGAGAACTATTTTTTAATTTTGGTTCAACAATGGACAGAAGTACACAGGCAAGATGGCGTCTGTAAAGTTCAGTTTAACAGCTGGTGTGTCATACTAAGTTTTCTTATTTAACCCATCAATACATATCAATTCATAAAGCATCTATTACAAAAACAGCTCAAATCAATGTGGGTTAACAGCAGGTTTGAAAAATACATGATTGTTATAGGGTGTGCTTTTTTTTTTACATTTAAATGTGAAAAATTCAAATGTAAACAAACAACAAGAGAATATTGCATCAAAGGAACAATTCCGTGATGACATCATTATGACATCATCATGGCTTTCATCTCGTGTTACTAAGTGGAAGTAGAGCAGCTGTCCAGGGTATCGTTTGAACCTTTCAGCGAGTAGCTACACTTAATGTAAAGATTATTAAATTTAGACACAACCAAGGCTATTTCTGCTGCTGTTCAGGTGCCTCTACTATACTAATAATCATTAGTATTAAATTATTTAAAATTATTTAAAAATACGACTCTGCAGTGGCTGTCATGGCAACTGAATCAACTGTTTAGTTTTAAAAAACTGAAGTTGGATATTTCAAAGTGAAACATAGACCTACTGGTAAAAACGTGGAAGAAAGCGAAAAGCAAAGATGGAAAACATGTCAGAGGAAACCCACGGCGAAATGACGGATCCACAGCACGTCCACCTAAGGTAAGGAGAAAAAAACGGTTCAAGGGGTCCCTGTGTGAAGGTGTTTCTATAAAACCGCGCCTCAACCTTTTTCTTTCTGCTCCTTTTCATTCACATGAAAATTTTTCCTTGTTTGTATTGAATGTGTCATATACTAACAGACTGAAATAAAGTATGTACACAGCGCCCTAACTTTATTGAAATGAAGTCATGTGTTTGGAGGTTAAGGCTCTGTTTGTGTAGATACCAACAGTTTGGGTCGGGTCAGAACTGCTGACATTCATACAGCTCATTCAGACGACTCAGAGAATGAGAGTATTTGGAATTTTCCAATATTTATCATGTCTCAGATTTGTGCACATCAGTTTGTGAATGACAGATATTGTACAGAAAGACTTAGCTTTCAGACCCTTTACAACAAGATCTTCAGTGCTTCTCATCTTTTTCTTTTAGCTTCCCATCTGAAAGCTCTGTGGAGGAAATGGCTCAAGACAGACCAGATCAAGATGAGACAGAGAAAACGGAGATTGATAACAGCATCATACAGAGACTTCAAGACAGACCAGATCAAGATGAGACAGAGAAAAAGGAGATTGATAACCGAATCATACAGAGACTTCAATCTGGCTGGATAGGCACTCTTCATGTCGTTTTCCTGGTGCTGCTTTTAGTCCTAATCACTGTCATTGTTGGCCTGAGCATCAATGTTAAGCAGTTACAGAAAGAAAGGAGTCAGCTGAGACAGCTTCTAGAATCAACACACATGGGACTGAACCACACCATGGAAGTAAATCAAAAAGTGAGCCAGAGTCTGAACTTCACCGTGGAAGAAAATCAAAAACTGAGGCTGAGTCTGAACTACACCATGGAAGAGAATCTGAACCTGAGCCTGAGTCTGAACAACACCATGGAAGAAAATCAGAAATTGAGCAGAAGACTAAACTACACCATGGAAGATAATCAGAAATTGAGCCTGAGTCTGAACTACACCATGGAAGATAATCTGAAACTGAGCCGAAGACTCAACCACACCAAGGAAGAAAATCAAAAACTGAGCCTGAGTCTGAGCTACTCCATGGAAGAAAATCAGAGACTGAGCCGAAGACTAAACCACACCATGGAAGTAAATCAAAAAGTGAGCCAGAGTCTGAACTTCACCGTGGAAGAAAATCAAAAACTGAGGCTGAGTCTGAACTACACCATGGAGGAGAATCTGAACCTGAGCCTGAGTCTGAACAACACCATGGAAGAAAATCAGAAATTGAGCAGAAGACTAAACTACACTATGGAAGAAAATCAGAAATTGAGCCTGAGTCTGAACTACACCATGGAAGAGAATCTGAACCTGAGCCTGAGTCTGAACAACACCATGGAAGAAAATCAAAAACTGAGGCTGAGTCTGAACTACACCATGGAAGAGAATCTGAATCTGAGCCAAAGATTAAACCACACCAAGGAAGAAAATCAAAAACTGAGGCTGAGTCTGAACTACACCATGGAAGAGAATCTGAACCTGAGCCTGAGTCTGAACAGCACCAAGGAAGAAAATCAAAAACTGAGCCTGAGTCTGAGCTACTCCATGGAAGAAAATCAGAGACTGAGCCGAAGACTTAACCACACCATGGCAGAAAAGTCACAGCTTCAAGTGCAGATTGAGGAGATGAAAATCATATTGAATTCTACTATGGAAAACCGTGACTCTTTCAGAAAAGACAAAATCAAATATCAACAGCTTTTGATCAATGAAAGGCAGACCTCAACTCAACTAAAAGCTGAAAATCAACGTCAACAATCAATTCTGATGTCGGAGAAACTATCTTTCCTCTGGAGATTCTGTGATAAAGGCACCCTGCAATGTTCACGCTGCCTTCCTGGTTGGGCTGAGCACGCCACACGCTGCTTCCATTTGGCATCACAACCAATGAAGTGGGAAGATGCTCGTAGGGAGTGTTTTAATGAAGGTGCTGACCTGGCTGTTGTCTTGAATGCTGCAGACCAGGCATTTCTGACCAACATGACTTTCCAGTTTACACAGCAGCATCCAAATGTACTGTTCCATTCAGCATGGATCGGGTTGCAGGACATGGTGCAGGATAACAGATTTGTGTGGGTAAATGGTATCAAGTCCAAGTCAGATTTGAAGTTCTGGATGCCTGGAGAGCCAAACAATGCTGCGGCTCAATGGGACAAAGACCGTGCAGGACAGGACTGTGTTGTCATTGTCCCTCCAAAGACTGTTGGACAGAAAGGCTGGCTGAACTCCTGGGATGATGTTGTCTGTCGAGGCCAGCGGCACTACATTTGTGAAACCAAAGCTCTTATTTTGTCTGGAGTAAAAACTGAGGAATGATGAGTTTATAACAATTTAGAATAAGTATGAATTAATGTGAAATAAATGTTCTTTATTTTGATAATGATATGGTATTATTATTTGGATTTTAATGTGGCCTATATAATAGACTGTTTTTTGTTCTTTTTTTAGTCAGATCTATCTATCTATCTATCTATCTATCTATCTATCTATCTATCTATCTATCTATCTATCTATCTATCACAGAATGGAGATGACATGGATTAAGGTGAAGTCAGTTGCAAGTTCAACATTTGTTAAAAAAAAAAAAAGAACAATATGACTGGAATGAGCGTTTAATCAAATAAATGTGAACAGAAACATTTTTAGGGCAGAAAAACATTATCACGAGACTTTTGGATTTCTGTCCTGCAGTTATGGAAGAATATGAGGTAACACCGGGAAATAAACCTCCGTCGTTAACATGAGAAAGAAACTTCTTCACTGACCGCCGGGAAGTGAAATTTCGGCGAAGGGTCAGTTGTGCCGTTCCCTTCCTGGAACTTCAGCCAGTCCAGCAGCCGTTCAGCTCCGACCACACCCTCCCTGCTTCCTCATACTGCAGCGGGAGCGCGCAGCACGACTTTGAATCCCCGGGAATAACGGCCCTTTCCTCGGCTACCTTTGGGATTTCATGTTCGGGGAACTAGACGAAACATGTGAGTTGACTGTCCAAAGACTTTTGAGCGGTTATGGCGCTGAAAAGCAAGTGTCAGCAGGGGCTATGCGGGGCTTCACATTCTCTGGTCCCGTGTCAAGACGCCTAGAGGAAGAGGGAGGAGGAGGAGGAGGAGGGCGGACAGAAGGACGATGCATATGGAGTCCAAGCGACTGCAGCATTCGCTAGCTTCTAACCCGGGGCTGTGTTTGAAAAAGAAGAGGTTAAAAGTGGATGGAGGAGTTTGTGCTGTTGGAAAGTCGGGCTCCCGGTCTTTAACTCTGGGGGACTCATGAAACGATGGTGCTGAAGGGAAACACGAGTCTTCCCGCTGTCCAGGAGAACTGCCCGGGTGGTGCCCCGTTTGTACCCAGCATGAGAATACCAGGCCGGTCAAAGTCATTGGAAGCAAGTCGGACAAGACGTCGGTGCTTTTTCAGGCTGCTTACCCTGTCAAGAGTGGACCTAAAATGACATCCTATTTATTAATGTAAAGAAAAAAAAAGAGCGAAGAATCGATCAAGCTAATGTTGAGGGATGTTTTTCTCTGCTAAAAAAGACCCAAAGAAAAGACATCTAGTGTTAAATAGCAGGAAAGGATCAGCAGATGTCATAAATCAGGAATGTGATCTCCTTTATGAAAAGAAATGCAGCTTTTGACTTTGAACAGCTCTCAGTCTGCACTTTGCCTGTTTGGAGGCACCCTGGCACTGCATTTGGTGTGATTTCTTCTTAAAGTTCACAGCCTGTGAAGTTTTTTTCTGTTTGACCAAAACTGGGACTGGGATTAGATTAACCACATCTGTATTTTGCTGGCATTTATGTTCATCTAAAGAGATAAGAGCATTTTATACTGATAATTTTAAGGCAATCCACCAGAAATATGCCTGACAGAAGTTCAGTCTCTTATTGTAAGAAAATATTCTGGATGTTATTGACTCAAAGTAATGCAGTTAGCGAGTTTGACTCTTTCTACGTGTTTACATGAAGAGTATATATATTCTGTGTGTACAGCTGATGACCCATACTCTGAAGGAATTTAAGGAAGACTGTTTGGCCAGTTGACTTTCTCAAAGTTTGTGAAAAGCAGTTCAGGCTTAGCTTGGAAACAGTACCATGTAATGTGCAGCACCCTAAAAAGCATAAATAAGTGAACTGAGTAACCCTCCCACCCTCACCCACCCCCTCCTTATTATGGCTAGTGGTGGCTCTGGCATGGCTCTGCCCCTAAGCTCATTCCAGAGCTTAGGGGCAGCAGCGGCAAATGCTCTGTCCCCTCTGAGCTTCAGCCTTGTACTGGGGACGGTCAGTAAAAGCTGATCAGCTGATCTTAGGGGTCGGGGTGGGCAATAAGGCTGTAGCATCTCCGAAATATAGGGTGGAGCAAGGTTGTTCAGGCCCTTAAAAACAAATGCTAAAAGCTTAAAATGAATTCTGTACTGAACAGGGAGCCAGTGTAAGGACGCCAGGATGGGGGTGATGTGCTCACGCCTGCGGGTCTGTGTCAGGAGACGTGCAGCAGAGTTCTGCATAAGCTGCAGGCGGGCAAGGGAAGCCTGGCTAATCCCTACGTACAAGGAGTTGCAGTAATCAAGACGGGTAGTGATAAAAGCATGGATTAATTTTTCCAGGTCAGGTCTTGATAAAATGGGCTTCACCTTCGCTATTTGGCGTAGCTGATAAAAACTTTTTTGTACCACCCCGCTGATCTGCTTGTCAAATTTAAAATCAGGGTCAAATTTAACTCCCAGATTAGTGACGACCTCTTTAAGGTAGGGTGAGAGGGAGCCTAGGTCGAAAACCCTTAAAACAGGCAGAAAAAAGAGAAAACTAAAAAAAAGAAAAAGAAGAGTATTTCTGAAAACAAAAAAAACAACAACAACAAAAAAACACCCTAAGAAAACTAAAAAACAAAAAAGAAATATTTCTGATTCTTGGGGTTAAGAAAGCCTGAGAAGTGGAAGAAGTAACTTCCCCGAAGTAAGGAAGTACTTAAAAAAAAAAAAAAACTCTTCAAAAAGAAATCTCCAAAAACAAAAATAAATTAAGACAACTGATGAAAAAACAAAAAAGAAAAAAAAAACATCAACATGGGAAAAAAAAAAAAACTACTGGAAAGAAAATTAAAAAACAACAAACAAAAGCACCCATAACCCGGTGTTTTTCACACAAAAGATAAAATAAACCTTGCGGTTTTCCGTCCCATGGGAGGGTTTTTATCCCCCTCCTCGAGCTACCACCTTACCGTGGTGGAGGGGTTTGTGTGTCCCAATGAGAGTTAATTCTGATTTACTCTTGCTGTTGTCAAAAAGTGCTAAAATTTCTCTGAATTTCGCATGCTAAGTAGGCCCATGTCAGTTTTAATCCTTGCAGGACTCTTGTTTTCACTTTTCATCAGCAGAGGAAAAGCTTTTGGATAACTGATTAATATAGAGTTCAGGGGAAAGTATATCTGCAATGTATAATCAATAATGACTTTATCTTCATGAGTAAATATGATTTGTACATTTAAAGAGAACTATTTTTTAATTTTGGTTCAACAATGGACAGAAGTACACAGGCAAGATGGCGTCTGTAAAGTTCAGTTTAACAGCTGGTGTGTCATACTAAGTTTTCTTATTTAACCCATCAATACATATCAATTCATAAAGCATCTATTACAAAAACAGCTCAAATCAATGTGGGTTAACAGCAGGTTTGAAAAATACATGATTGTTATAGGGTGTGCTTTTTTTTTTACATTTAAATGTGAAAAATTCAAATGTAAACAAACAACAAGAGAATATTGCATCAAAGGAACAATTCCGTGATGACATCATTATGACATCATCATGGCTTTCATCTCGTGTTACTAACTGGAAGTAGAGCAGCTGTCCAGGGTATCGTTTGAACCTTTCAGCGAGTAGCTACACTTAAAGAAAGAGACAATCGAAATCTTTTAGCAGCGGAACTCTGAGACTACAAACAGTCAAAGACAATGCAGCGACCAACAAACCGACCCAGGATTAACAGGCCCTTCTACTTGAGGGACAGAGAGATGGAGACACTCCGCAGGACTGTGGCTCAGCTCACTGGACAGCTGGAGAGTGAGAAGAACCGAACACTCTTGCTCAGCCAGGAGTTGGAGGTGACTCAACAGAGGCTCACTGGACAGCTGGAGAGAGAGAAGAACCGAACACTCTTGCTCAGCCAGGAGTTGGAGGTGATTCATCAGAAGCTGACCAGGCAAAGGGCTCTCAAGGAAGTGTACATTAACAAAGGGAAGGAGCTCAAAAAGGAGCTGCAGATGCTTCAAAAGTACAGCTCAGAGGAGACCCTCTCCAAACACAGAATTGCTCTTAAGGTGAGGGACACGAGCCGGCAGAAGAAGAAGAAGGATCTTCATGTCGATTACGAGGAGCTGAAGGTGGCACATATTGTGGAAAATGAGAGGCTCACAACACAAGTCCAGGAACTGACTGAAAGAAACACGGTCCTCCATGAAGAACAGGAGAAGACAAGAACCTCATACCAAGCACTGAAATTCCAGTATGCAACTGATCTCACTGCTGCGAAACAGGAAGTTGAGACCCTTCAGCGTGAGCTGCAAAATCAGGCTCACCATGATGGACTCTTACAGGAACAGACCATCCAGATCCTGAGAGCCGAACAGGACTCCATGACGGAGAAGATTGCTGTTCTGCAGCAGGCAGCTTTTGAAACAGAGAGGAGGCACTGGGCTGAGCTGGAGGAGCTGAAACAACAGCTCTACATCCAGACAGCCGGTATGATGGACAACAAGGAGCTTAAAGTGGCCCAAGAAACCAGCTTTAACAATGAAAAAAACAAAAAAACAAATGAACTCTCAACTGAGCTTCAACTTCGAGAGACAGGCATCAGGCAAAGTGAGATGACGCTTCAGGAGCAGGACTTCATGGACATGGACATCGAGCAGTTTTGCATGGAGTTGGAGAAAACTGCAGAAACTTCTGGAGCTGAAGAACTGGCAGGAGCTTTAGAAATCGAAGTGACTGCTGGATCTCCAGAACTAGTTGGAACAGCAGGACCAGCAGAGACACCAACCTCTAATGCCACCAAACCACCTTCTTCAGTCTGGAAACAAACAAGACACTTCTTGGGGTTAAGAAAGCCTGAGAAGTGGAAGAAGTAACTTCCTCGAAGTAAGGAAGTACTTTAAAAAAAAAAAAAACTCTTCAAAAAGAGATCTCAAAAAAAAATAAAGAAAGAAAGAAAACCAAAAAAAAAAAAATCAATCAATCAATCAACTTTATTTCTATAGCACATTTAAAACAACCACAAGGGTAGCCAAAGTGCTGTACAGTGACACATAAAAACAAATAAA